ATGAGTATACAGTGATTTTAAGGCAAGTATCTGCATCAAAATCATAGCTTTTAAATTAACAAACAGGCAGTCCAGCATATCATATTACTCATTTCAGAGGAAGCAACAAATGACATGAATTTAATATATGATCATATTCCAACAAGATTTGAAAATATGCTTGTAGTCCAATGCATCCCAAAACTAGGACAGGAAAGGCCTCATAAGCTTTACTACAAGTAATGTAGCACCTATTAAAAGCTAATTTTCATAATAAAATATAGTAATAGTCATTTATAAACTGCTAATTTTCTATTTCCACCCCCACTATTACTGAAAAGACCAACCAAAAGTTTAAAAAGAAGAGTTCTGGAGAATTGAAAAGATTACACACTTTCCTGGAAAATAGGTATAGCATCCCTAAGCTACTGATGAAAAATTATCCATTAGTCTGGGTCTTAAATGAAATGCTGTAGACGCAGATTAGAAACAGATTCTTTTAGATACTTTTTTAAAAATCCAATATAATTATTATTTTATTAAAAAATCCAATATAATGACTATGTTTTTTGAAGCAATTTACAAGGTAATTTTAAGGAACAGAACACCAATCCTAAGGCTCCAGATACTAAATACTCTCACCACAAATGGGGGGGGGGGGTTCTTGGTGCTCTCTGAGCTTGGTTGCTTTCTCCCAGACATTGCATTACCCATAGTAAATTTATCAATGCAATATGCGTTTAAAAACTTAAAATGTCTTGCCCTTATATTTTCTCATACTAAAGTGGTATCCTTGCATCTTTAAAGGGACCCTAAAGAGACTGTTGCAACTACGGTATCCATACATGCATGCAAATTAAGCATTTTTTTCACTTTCTAGTCCCACAACAATGCCTCCAGCCTTTCAAAAAGCAAAATATAATCACTTATTCTTTTTCACCGGTTATTCCTTAAATGGGTAGAAACTAAGCACTCATTAAAACATGATCAGTTTTTCCTAAACTACCTCCATATACTAGGACTAGCAGTTAAAAACCATAATGCCTAATGTATCCCTATGAAATGGATTAGACCCAGTGTGCTGTCCAAGGCTATATGGTGAACTTTATTATTGAAAAGTACTGTGAACTTTGCCTTCTCCTGTTAAAATCTAACACTTTAAGCGCTGCACAAAATTGGGTCGGTATTGAAAAATCACTTTTAAGATTAATTTGATTTTAAAAGCCCACAACCTGGATATCTTTCACTGGAGAAGTTAAATGCACCCCAACTTTAAAATACAGTCCAATTTTTTTTTTTAAATGCCTTTTTTCTTCTCCTTTTAAAGTCACTGTTATTTACATTGAAAATCAGAAGCAAGATAACCACAACACTTTCTCCTACTCACAATAACACAAGTAGAGGATCTCCTGTGCTTCATGACGAGATCTACTCAATGGTGTAGTAGTCTTAAGAATTAGAGGAGCAAGCAATTCTTACAAATGTAATGTCAAAAGTTATTATTGCCTCATTCACAATACAGAACAGCACATGGTAGATATAAGCACAATTCAGATTCCTAGCTACATAGAGGCAATATATGAAGTTGGGACTCAACTGGCTGGCAGTTATTGCTATTTCAATTACAATACCAAAAAGGAAATTTAAGTACAGGATATATGAGATTTGTATATACAAATATAGGCATCAACTAATTAGATCAATTCAGCAAGTGACACCAAGAAAATGCAATATCTACATAGATTTGCAAGAGCTATGTATAAATGCGTGTCTCCCAGAGCCAAACTGATTGTCTTTCAAGAAGTCATTCAATTTTAGCTTCCTATGCAAACATCGGAAAGAACAAAACCTAAGAACAAAGTATGCAACCTATGTTGAAATGCTAAACAATAAATCAAGCAGAAATCATGAGAATACCACTTCAAAACATCTGCACTCCTTTTTGGTTTTTTAAATGCACTGATGTAGAGCTTTATATTAAAAACAAAACTTTGATGACATCAACAAAATAACAAGGAAGAATCCTGAAACTTTTAGTCCAAACTGACATGGCCAGCTAACATTCTATAAAGTATTGCTTTTAAGTATGCATATACAAATAAACATAAAGACTTGAGTAGACAGAATTCATGAAGTGCGGTACACAAAAGTTGTAAACTTTCCAGAGTTCCATAAATTAAGACAGCACAGCTCCCACTTATTTTTTTTACAACTATGTATTTCCTGACTATTATAAATAGGAATGTAACCAAGTTGCTTTTTGGAGTATGTTTTACATCACATCCTTCAGGCAAAAATGCCATATAAAAATCAAAAGGACATGAGGCACTTTTATGACACCCAAATCAAGAGGTAAAAACCCTCTTCACTACCTAAACAGCATATCATCACTTTAAAATACAGCATCCCAATAACTTTTCCGACTGCATTCTTAACAGCATGTTTGAAAACCTACAACTGTGAACAAACAAGAGTCTGCAAATGAAGAAAACCTTCCCACCCAGCCATCAGTAAATGCTAAAATGTTCTGCTCAATAAAAAGGGAAGATGCCAAAAATCTGTCCTATCTCTATTCATACCCAAAAATTATCCTCCTCTTCGCCCTTAATATGTTGCTATAAAAAAACATAAATTCATTACCAGCTCTCCTCCAAAAGCTATTCATCATCCTTTCCTTATATGTATGCATGTATATGTGCATATAGGTGAGTACTGAATTAGTTAAGAACGGTTGAGTGCATATACACACACATAAAGCATACATTATATATATGTGTGTGTGTGTGTGTATGTATGTGTATATATATGTATATGATACACACACAAACGTGCATGTATGCGTGCATATAGGCAAGCATTGGATTAGTGAGATTGTGTGTATATCTACATATAACATATATGTATGCATAGAGGCAACCATTGGATTAGTGTGGTTGTGTGTATACATAGCAGACATATATGCATGTGTGTATATATGTGTATGTGTGTGTGTGCATTGGATCAGTGTGTGAATACACCCCCAGACATACTTATTCACACAAATACATATGCATGAGTCCTTTGGGATTGGGCGGCATATAAATAAAATTAAATAAATAAATAAACAGGTGAATACTGAGCTAATATGTATGCACATGTTTGTATACACACACACACACACCCCTACCTCCCCCCAACTCCAATCCAATCCTCCCCCTTCCCTGGACTTTCAGCTCGACACAGCCCAGCCTATGCAAGACAACCGAGCCACAAGAAAAACCAGGCCTGGGAGCTAACCCAACCCCCCCCCACGGAAGGCAAACGGCAGCCCCCCCCCAATTCCCTGGGAACGAGAAGCTCCGGCGGGCCGTCTTCCTTCCTCCGCCGCCCCCCTCTCCCCGTTTGACAGAGGGCAGCCCCCCCGCCCCATGACCGCCCTCCCTTCGACGGGGCCCCGGAGGGGTGTCGGACGGGCCCGCCTCGCCCTGCAGCCACTCCGCCCGCCCCATTGAGCGGCCCTGTGGGGAAGGGGAGGCCCGCTTCGGCCCCCTCCCCGCCCAGCACCACAGCGCCCATCAGCCCCGGCCGGGCCCCTTTCTCCTCCTCTGCCTCCGCCGCCCGCGAGCGTCGCCGGGCCTCGAAGGGCTCCGCGGAGCTGCAGGCACCGGGCAGGCCCAGCCCAGCAGCGTGTTCCCGCCCCGGCGGGAGGGCCCACGGCGGTTTTACCTGCGCGCTGTGGACTGCCATGGCGCCCCGGCCCCTCGGCTGAGGGAGAAGGCGGCAGCGGCGGCGGGCTCAGCCGTCTCCCTCAGCGCCTCACGCGGCTGGCGCCGCCGCCATCTTCTCGTTCGCTCGCTGCTGGCAAAGGCGCACGGCCGCCACCACACACGGCGGGCGGGCAGGGGAGGGGCGGTCGCGGCGCCTGCGCACTAACGGCACGCCCGCTCGCGGCACGCGCCTTGCGCTCCCACAGCGGGGCTCGCCGGCTCGAAGTGAACCACCCCGCCGCCGCTCTGCGCATGGGCCTGCCGGAGAGGAGTCCTGGAAGGGAGGCCAACTGTTGGCTGCGCAGGCGCGCGGGGAAGTGTATGGGCGGTGCGGTCTGAGGGGAGAGAAAGGCGGGTGTCTTGCGCAAGCGCGGCTCGCCTCTGGAGGCGTTTCCTTAGCCTCAGTCATTGATCGGTAAGGGTCCTGTCTTCCCCCGTTTGGGCCTCGTGGGAGCTTTTATATCACTACGCCCTGAGGAGCGTTGACCTTATTCATTATGGAAATAAATGAATGAATGCGAGGGAAAAGATTGGCACGCATCTCCTCAAGGTGGAGGGGAGCGGGTTTCCATACACGCGCGAGGGGAACGACGGAGACATATTTGCGCACGCGCATTTTGGCCATCGGGAGGGAAGAGAGCCGTCTGCGCACGAGCGCTTATTTGAATACATTTTTGTGTTTGCCCCCGAGAGGTGTGGCTCCTTGCGCATGTGCGATGGGAAGGCAATTGATTGGCACTGCGCAGGCGCTGGACTTTACCCAGAGCACGTGTCGGAAAGAGCTGGTTGGATTTTAAGAAGTAGGGAACGGGGTCGGAGTAGGACACCTGAATCGAAAGATTGGCTACCTTTTTCCTAAAAGCAATTTTATAGCTTAGAGTTGAAATGAGAAATGGTCCTTAGTGCTCTCTGAGCCTGGTTGTTTTCTTGCAGACGTTTCATCACCCAAACTAGGTAACATCATAAGTGCTAGTAAGGAGTGGGGTTTGCTTTGGAATTATTTAAATTTCCTACAACAAGGTATTACTTTCCTGCAATATTTTACCTCTGGTCAGCTTTTCTCTCTGTCACAGGAAAAATGATATTGCAATCCCGTTTTGGATAGCTGAAGGAAACAAGCAAGTTGGGTGTGATCCAGCTGGACTTTTCATATGAAGCCTGGACAATTTTACTCACTTTACATGTGCAGTTCAAAATTATTCACTCCCTCCTTTTCAGAATCCTGATGATGGAAAGCAGCATCTCTGGCCGATCAGTATGAAACAAAGCCAATTCTTCTTTGGAAACAGTTTATTGTTTGAAATCCAAATTCGGGATTAAACACAAAAAAAGATGTAGAGGAAAGGAGATTATATCGTTCCAAGCTAATATTGAGCAAACCTTGTAAAAATGATCAGCTTCATTCACAGGAAAAAATAATATTTATACACAAATTAGTTCTCAAAGATCATTGTTTCCCCAGTGTTTTTACTCCTAGAGACTACATTGATGAGTTCCTGCAGTTTTTTTAGGCATTGTTTTCAAAAGTAGCCTTCGGCTGAGAGGACTGGCCAAAGTCACCCAACTGGCTTTGTGTCTAAGGCAAGACCATATTTCGCTGCTCCTAGTGCTAAACTGTTTTTCAGTGCCCAGCTAAGTATTAGGAAAACAGGCTCTTCTACTAATAAAGGCTTCCCCAAATTCATGAGAAATGTGTTTTACCTGAAGCAAGAATAATCTTTAATCATTTAAACTATTTAAACCTATTTTCCAAAGCAACAGAAGGCAAGTCAAGAAACAAGGGATGGAAATTAATCACAGAGAGAAGCAACCTAGAACTGTGGAGAAATTTCCTGACAGAACAATTAATGGAACGGACAATTAGTGGAAAAAAGTTGCCTTCATAAGTTGTGGGTGCTCCATCACTGGAGGTTTTTTAAAAGAGATTGGACAACTGTTTGTCTGAAATGGTATAAGGTCTCCTGTTTGAGCAGGAAGTTGGACTAGAAGACTCCAAGGTCCTTTCCAACTCTATTCTGCTAAATTACCTCCAGATGCTGATAAGATCTTCAGGCCAAAGCATAACATGGGTGTCATTATGAGTAGGGTTTTTAAAAACCCGTTTCAGGAACCTCTTAGCTCGGGCATGTTAAACTGCTGGCCCACAGGCCAGATACATCACACTGAAACCATACCCACCCTATTGCCGGCAATGGGGAAAAAGTTGTGATACGTCGCGCGATGTCACATGGCATTGTGAGTTTGACATGCCTGTCTTGACTGCTAAAAGCAGTATATATAAATGAAGTGCTGTTTTTTATCCATTTTTCCCAAAGTAGGATTTTAATACAGGAAGTGAGTTTTGATGGACAGGCTTTTATTGATAAGATTCTACCTTTTTAAGAAGAGATCTACCTGCTCCACTTTCTCTGAAGATCTCTGATATTCATCTCCTTAGTTACCATTTGTAAACGCTCTGTGATTTCGTCTTCATGGACTTTGCGCCCTAATGCTGAGGTTACTCCAAAGATGAGTAACATTTACTGGTGCAGTTTGCTCGCCACTCCAGAGAGGTAAAGATGGACAATAGAGGAAATTCTCCAGCCCAAGTTAAGAAAAACTGTTCTGAAATTTTCAAAACCAGTTCTCTGTACAGGCTGTCCTTGATTTAATGACCATGCATTTAGCAACCACTACGAAAAATGACTTACAATCAGTTCTCGCACTTAAACAACTGTTGCAGCGTCCTCATGATCAGAATTCAGGCACTTAGCAGAGGGTTAGGAAGGTTGCAGCATCCCAGGGTCACATGATCCCCATTTGCAACCTTCCCAGCCAGACAAAGTCAATAGGGGAAGTTGGATTCACTTAACAACCATGTGTTTCCCTTAATGACCATGGCGATTCACTCAACCATCATGGAAAGAATGTAAATTGGATACAGCTTCGCTTAACAAGCACTTCGTTTAGCAATGGAAGTTCCGGTCCCAATTGTGATCATAAGTTGAGGACTACTTGCATTAGGAAAAGGTACTGACAGGCTTCCATCCAAGCCAAAATTCATCATCTCCCTCGATCCTGATGGCGTTGCGGTTTGGACTTTTTCTTTTTGTCATGCGATCTGGGCCTCAAAACGCAGACGCAAGCCGAAACACCGGCTATGGCTTTGGGAAGATCGTTCCCTTTTTGCCATTGCTTTGTTGTTTTGTCGTAGACCTGAACGGCCCTGGAGAAGACTGTGTTTTCCCAACTATAGCCTCCCAGAATGTAGATCTTGCCGTCCCACGTGGCCACGCCGGACTCACTGTTGGCCTGGAATAAAGGCGCCACTCTTGTCCACTGATTGCACTTGGGGCTGTAGGATTCCACCGACAGAATGTCAAAGCGTGTCATGGTTTCCAGGTGGTCATCGCTGCCCCCAATCGAATAAATGTCGTCCTGTAGAGTGCACATGCTGTGCCAACCCCGAGCGGTGATCATGGGCCTCCTCTCCTCCCAGCTATCTGTCCGATAATCATAGCACAGCAGGTTTTTGCGATAGGGACCGATCTGATAATCGTGGCCTCCCGAAATGTAGACGAGTTCCTCATGGACAGCACCTGCATGGCCATACGTAAACCTGCAATGGAAGGAAAAGTGAAACAAGACTTTAAGCAGCCCTTCCTAGCAGGAGGAGAGAATGCTTTCAAAACCCTGTTCTCAGATTTAATTATTTACTCTGCGGTATAACAGCCTTAGAAAATCTGAGCAACAACAAAGCTAGTGGAGGTGACAGTATTCCAGCTGAGCTATTCAAAATCCTAAAAGACAATGCAGTAAAAGTGCTACACTCAATTTGCCAGCAAATTTGGAAAACTCAACAGTGGCCACAGGATTGGAAAAGATCAGTTTACATTCCAATTCCAAAGAAAGGCAATGCCAAAGAATGTTCAAACTATCGCACCATTGCACTCATTTCACATGCTAGTAAAGTTATGCTTAAAATCCTACAAGCTAGACTCCAGCAGTATGTGGATCGAGAACTACCAGAAGTACAGGCAGGATTTCGAAGAGGCAGAGGAACTAGAGATCAAATTGCCAACATACGCTGGATCATGGAGAAAGCTAGGGAGTTCCAGAAAAACATCTACTTCTGCTTCATTGACTATGCTAAAGCCTTTGATTGTGTGGATCACAACAAATTGTGGCAAGTTCTTAAAGAGATGGGAGTACCAGACCATCTCATTTGTCTCTTGAGAAACCTATATGCGGGTCAAGAAGCAACAGTGAGAACCGGACACGGAACCACTGATTGGTTCAAAATTGGAAAAGGAGTCCGGCAAGGCTGTATACTGTCGCCCTGCCTATTTAACTTATATGCAGAGCACATCATGAGAAAGGCAGGGCTAGATGAAACAAAAGTTGGAATTAAGATTGCCGGGAGAAATATCAACAACCTAAGATATGCAGATGATACCACTCTAATGGCAGAAAGTGAAGAGGAACTAAAGAGCCTCTTGATGCGGGTGAAGAAGGAGAGTGCAAAAGTTGGCTTGAAACTCAACATTAAGAAAACCAAAATCATGGCATCCGGCCCTCTCAATTCCTGGCAAATAGATGGGGAAGAAATGGAGGTAGTGACAGATTTTATTTTTCTGGGCTCCAAGATCACCTCAGATGGGGACTGCAGCCAAGAAATTAAAAGACGCTTGCTCCTGGGGAGGAAAACTATGGCAAATCTAGACAGCATACTAAAAAGCAGAGCCATCACTCTGCCAACAAAAGTGCGTATAGTCCAGGCCATGGTTTTCCCAGTTGCAATGTATGGCTGTGAAAGTTGGACCATAAGAAAGGCTGAGCGCCAAAGAATTGAGGCCTTTGAACTATGGTGCTGGAGAAGACTCCTGCGAGTCCCTTGGACTGCAAGGCGTTCAAACCGGTCAGTCCTAGAAGAGATCAACCCCGACTGCTCTTTAGAAGGCCAGATCCTGAAGTTGAAACTCAAATACTTTGGCCACCTAATGAGAAGGAAGGACTCACTGGAGAAGGGCCTAATGCTGGGAAAGATTGAGGGCAATAGAAGAAGGGACGACAGAGAATGAGATGGCTGGATGGAGTCACTGAAGCAGTAGGTGTGAACTTAAATGGACTCCAGAAGATGGTAGAGGATAGGAAGACCTGGAGGAACATTATCCATGGGGTCGCGATGGGTCGGACACGACTTCGCAATTAACAACAACAACAACAATAACAGGACATGCCTGACTGTGTTTTGAGTTTCTCAAATCCATGAATTAAATTCTAAAGAGAGTAGAGATAACATGAGCGAAGAGTCTAAACACATCCATGCAAATTGGCAAGAATAAAGGTTGGCTGTGATCTAAAAATGGGCATTCTTTTCTGGATGTTTTTGCTCTTTTGTAACTCTTCATTTTTTATAATTTTAGAATTGTAAGAGTCCCTTGGTAGAAATTGAATGAATAAATAAACACAAAAAAGGACTCTATTCAGCTGGGAATCTGATTTTACTCAACGTATTGCCAAGTCCAACAGCTGCTCTCTTTGATTGCAAGATTATTTTTATTGTATTTTTATCCTACCTCAAGGCAGCAAACATCCAACACACCGTCCTCCTATTTTCAACAACCTTGTGAGGTGGGTTGGGCTCAGAGAGTCTGGCCTAAAGTTAGCCAGCTGGCTTTCGTGACTAAGATGGGACTTGAATTTTTGAATTTTGCCTTACAGTAGCTGTCTCTCTGGGGTCAGGAACAAAGAAAGATCCTTCCCTTATTCAGTCCGTAAATCCATGCAATCTGAACTATGTGTCCTCCCACTGAATTATTTTTGACCGCCTGGGCACAATCTTCCATTGCCGAAGTGCCTTTGGTGATATATCAGCCATGACATAAAAGTAAGCAACTGGTAATCTTAAGAGCTGGAGGCAAACCCTGACCTAATTTCAAGACTGTTTTGCAAGAAAATACCTGTGGGTTGCTTCAGCTTAGTGCCTCAGGGAGGGAGGGCTGGGACAGAGAATTAAGAACTATGCAGAAAGAGAAAAAGTAATTGTGTGTCTGTCGGAAACGGCTGAGGTTTCTGATGCTACCAGGTTTTCCCTGCTCTTCTCTCTGGAGGCCTCCTTAATCTGATGCTTCCCAGATGAGTCACAACTGCAGTTGCCTGAATTAACAGAATAACAGAGTTGCAAGGGACCTTGGAGGTCTTCTAGTCCAACCCCTGCTCAAGCAGGGACTCTATGCCATGTGGCTGACCTGAGTCTACCTCTTTTTTTATAATATGGTGAGCAAAACTGGATGCAGTATTCCTAGTGTGGTCTTACTAAGGCTTTATAAAGCAGTACTAATACTTCACGTGATCTTGATTCTCTCTCTCTGTTAATGCAACCTTAGATTGCATTGGCTTTTTTGGCTGCTGCCGCACACTGTTGGCTTATATTTCCGTGATTTTGTCCACTAACACTCAAAGATCTCTCTCAAGAGTTACTGCTTTTGAGCCAGCTTTCATCTAATCGAAACCAACTATGAATGGTCATTATTGGCAAATCCAACATTTGCAGAGGTCATTGGGGGAAAATGCAACAGTCTTAACTTGGGCAGACAAGCTTTGGTGCCCACAATTTAATTTGCCAATCCAAGCCACATCTCCAAAACTAAAGGTCGTATCTGTCTCTCTTGATAAAGACAGTTGTGTTCTTCGATTGCTCTAAACACACACATCCCCTTGCCAGCACCAAGAATGAGAACTGACCTACAGACTGCTTTGTCTTACAAGAAGTCCTTGACTTATGGCAGTAATGGCATCCAGAATTAAGTCGCAAGTCATAAATTGAGATATCATGACTGGATTTGAAGTTACGATAGTTTTTATGATGATGGTTAGGCAAATCCATTGTCCTTAATGAGTGTCTTTTGCCAGAAAATGGCAAAAAAATTGCAAATTGCTTGTCCCTGCAAAAAGCCATAAAGGTGAGCCAGTTGCCCAAAATATGATTACATGATTATGAGGGATAAGTGTTTGTGTGTCTGTCTCCCTGTCAACCCATTCCAAAAATGGGTTGTGAATAGCTCTGGATAGGTCCGTTGTAACTTTAAACAGTTAAGTGGCCAGTTGTATGTTCAGGCTTGCTGTCGAGTTTTTCTCCATCCGAGTAACAGTTTCAAACTTAGACCATTTCCCACTGTGATCAAGTCAACTTGTAGGTGAGATGGCAGCCCAGGAAAGAAAGGAGAAAAGAAAAGAGGAAGGAAGGAAGGAAGGAAGGAAGGAAGGAAGGAAGGAAGGAAGGAAAAAAATGGAAGGAAAGCAAGAAAAGAGGAAGGAAAGGAAAGAAGAAAAAACAGGAAGGAAGGAAAGAAAGAGAAATTTCTCTATCATCTGCTCTGTTTCACCTGGGCAAGCCAGCGACGTAGAACCAGGTGTCCTTCTCGGGGCTGTAGGTCTCAACCGATGACAGTGCTCCGTTTTCATTCCTGCCACCCACAGCCACCAGCATGTCTCTGATGGCCCCGAGGTAAAAGTCCACTCGTTGTTGCTTCATCGAGGCAAGCTGAGAACGAGAGAGAAAAGCAACAACGTGCCAAAGGTCATCTGTCACAGAAAGCGACAATTAAAAACAGCATATTTGTCACAACTTAGGGCAGGGATGGAGGACTGGCACAGAGCAAATACAAGCTATTTGCCTGGGTCCTATTTATATATGTTCATTATTTGCTTGGTCCCTGATAGGTTGCGACCAGATGTTTGTGCTTTGGATTTTTTTTTAAAGATGACCATTTCAGAAAGACTGTTTTCCCAGATCCACAGAAACCATGTGGACAGACAAACTGGGAACCACTGGGAAACCAAGTTGTATATTTTATCACTCTTGAATGAAAGCATTAAACTCTCTGACTTGGATTTTCCCAGAATCCCAAGAGTTGTAGTCCAGGGCCTGCTGGGACCCCAACCTCACAGTTAGAGAACATTGATTTTTATTATTTTGGGTGGCAGAAATCTTAACCCCTTTACAGATAGTCTTCGACTTACAACACTTCAGTTAGTGAACGTTCAAAGTTACAGCAGCACTGGAAAAAGGGACTTACGGCCATTTTTCACATTTATGACTTTTGCAGTCTCCCCAGGGTCACATGATCAAAATTCAGACTTTTGTCAAATGACTCATATTTATGACAATTGCAGCGTCCCAGGCGTCACGTGATCCCCTTTTGTGACCCTCTGTCAAGCAAAGTCAATGGGGGAAGCCAGATTCACTTAACAACCATGTGACTAAACAACTGCAGTGATTCACTTAACAACAGTGGCAAGAAAGATCATAATTGGGGCGAAACTCACTTAACTTTCTTAGCAGTGGAAATTCGAGGCTCAATTGTGGTTGTGAGTTGAGGACTATCTGTATCTCCAAGCACACAGAAAGAAAAACATCTACAAGAGCTTAAGCCTCACCTTTATCCACTGTTTACACCGAGGATCATACCTATAGAGAAGATTCGAAGCTGCATCCCCACCGTTGTCACGGGAAAAGCTGCCGCCGGCAAGAAAGATAAACCCCCCAAGAACCACAACACAGTGGTGGCTCCGTCTGGCGGGCAGCGGTGTCTCCTTCACCCACTGTCCTGTTTTGGGGTCCAGGAAGCAGGTATCGTCACTCAGCTCCAAGCAATGCTCCGACACTTCTCCTCCGACAAAGAGAAGCTTCTCTTCCTGGGTCCGGAGAACCGTCCGCTTATTCTGCAGGACAGGCTGAGCGGCCACCTGATTGTGGTAGTTGACCGCCTCTTCCACAAAGTCTTCGCAGCGGGTTTCTTTGGGAAGGAGGGAGCAGATAGCCGGCTTGACCCGGTGCAGGAGGTCGCTCTTTGGGATCAGAGGGAAATGGATGTTCTCCAAGACTCGGTAGGCCTCTGTTTCCCGCTCGGGGTGCTGCATCAGCCACCGCAAAGCCGCCTGCAGCAAGTCATGTTCACACTCCTCTTGCACGCCCGTACTGCCGAGGTACTGGCAGAGTTTCTCGACAGGAAGGTTTTGTAAGAAGTCCGGCGTGAGCGAGAGAGTGCCAAAGTTCTTTATGATGAACGTGTCAATATAGGAGTCCAGGCGCTTGAGGTTGAAGATGGAAGCAAGTTCTTGGAGGTATAAGTAGTTCTCTTCGTTGACCTCGTTTTCCAAGTACTCACAACAGAAATCCACCACCTTCCAGATTTGCAACAGGTGAGCCGTTTCCAAAATGGAATGGATATTTCCACTGCTGAGAAATAGATCGCACCCATAGAGGAAGTCCAGGACAGCTTTGAGGCCAACGCAAGTGGCACCAAAGAGCTCAACTTCTTTCTGGTGAGCTTCTCGCATGCCGATCGTGAACATGGTGTGGAAATAGTCACTGCAGACAGCTAGAACGTTCCGGTGAGCGGGGACTTTCTGCTCCTCCACCACTAAAACCACATCACAGAAGAGATTGCAGCGTCTCTGTTCATTCAGGCTCTGAAGAACAAGGCTGGAGTGGTCAGCAAATTTGTACACCTGAAAGGAGGATAAATTGGATCAGAAAATATGTCCCACAAGTTAGGAGTGAGTCATATGCCAGGACATAGTTTGCATCGTGGGTCAAGATAAGTCAAGCTATTTTCCAAAGCACCGGAAGGCAAGACAAGAAGCAATGGATAGAAACTAATCAAGGAGAGAATCAACCTAGATGTCAGAGGTTCCGACTAATGAAGCACTTCAAAGAGTGGAGGAATTTCCTGACAGGACAATTAACCAGTGGACCAGCTTGCCTTCAGAAGCTGTGTGTGCTCCAACATCTGAGGTTTTTAAGAAGAGGCTAGACAGTCACTTGTCTGAAATGGTAGAAGGTTATCTAGAAGTTATCTAGTTTGGGTATTGAAACAGCTGCAAGAAAACAAGCTCAGAGAGCACCAAGGACTCTATAGTCCTCCTCCTCCCCCTCCTCTTTCTCCTTCTCCACCACGCAAATTCCACTCTCTTCCAGCACTGAGGAAGTTACCTAGTTTGGATAATGAAATGGCTGCAAAAAAACAAGCAAGCTCAGAGAGCACTAAGGACTCCTCATGTGAACCCTGAGCGACATTCTCCTTTATTAATACTTTTTACTTTTACTCTTTAAAAACTTGTTCACAATAATATATACTAGCCACAAAAAAGAGAGGAACGCAAAGATAAAGCAGCAAAGCAAGGGGCAAAAAGAGAGGCCGATTAAGGGATTAAAAACCCTTAAATCCCATCATCTTTCCCAACCTGGTGCTCTCAAAACACACGGAGATTGGAACCCCCCCCCCCTCTACAAAAGGTGGAAAGGAAACAAAAGTAACCAGACCTTTGAGGATTGGCTGATCTTGGGTGGGCGAGAAAATCTGATTTGCCTAAGCTCCTCCATCAAGGCAGCGGCTTGCAATTCTGGGGAGGGTTGGAAAAAAACACACCAGTGAATGGAAAACAGCCTCAGTCTTGCAAGAGGACCCCCAAACTCTTTGCTAAAAGAAACAAGCAGTTTTAGATATTAGCCAGTGAAGCTCCTTGTCTTTACTCCTGAGTAGACCCACAGAGAATCCCCCTGCAAGGCTGGAGCGCCTTGTTTTGAACAGGGGGGAGAATGTCTACTCAAGAAAGGGATTTATTCCCTCCATCAAAGGGTGATCTTAAATCTGAACCCTAACGGTAAGAAATTTGGTTGCTGGTAGGCAAGTTTATTAGGAGCACATGATTTAGGCATGCTTTGCTAAACTGTGTGTGTGTGTGTGTGTGTGTGTGTGTGTGTGTGTGTGTGTGTCTTTGAGATAGTGCTGACTCTTTAACAACTGCCTGAACCAGCCAATGTGGTTTTCTTGGCAAGATTTCTGATTGGTATGCCCTTGTCTTCTTCCTAGGGCCAAGACAGAGTGACTGGCCCAAGATCATCCAGCAGGCTTTGTGCCTAAGGCAGGAAGAACTAGAACTCCCAATCTCCCACTTTCTAGCCTGGTGCCTTCACCCACTGCACGAAACAGTCCTCTGGGCATGCCAAGTCACGAACCATGGTTTGCAGACTGCAACACCAGGAGTAAGCAAACCACAGTTTGGTCCGGGCAGGACCCGGGGGGGGGGAGGTCTGGACTTCAGCCACTGCTGCCTTGGGTCCAGTCTCCCCCTTCCCCAGGAGACCAACTGCCTGCCCCTCCCCAGGAAAAGCCGAGGACCCCCACTGGGGCAAGGCGGGAACCTGCGGCAAAGAGGGCCGCGGGAGTTTCCCATCATGCCTCAGTCCCAGCATCCCTGGACTTTAGCAGCCAGCCGGAGATGCTGCGACTGTTCTTACCGCTCTGCCCGCGGGAGACCCCGGTTCCCCCTCCGCTCCTTCGGCAGCCCAGCCTCGCAACCAGGAACTGGCGGGCCGGAGTGGCAGCGGAGAGGGCCAATGAGAGCAAACAAAGGGGCCTGGCTGGCTAGCGCGGGGGTGGGACTTGTCCGGGCTCCGCTGCGGTGTAAAGGAGAAGCGGCGGGGTTTGGTTTTTTTTTTTTTTTTTTTTTTGCAAGCGTTTGAGTGGCAGGGGCGTCCCGTGCGCCCCCTCCTCGCCATTAGCATTCCTCTCAGGCGGCTGGAAGGGGGAGGGGGGCCCCTCCAAGGACCGCCTCTGGATGCCCCGACAAAGAGGAGGGGGAGACCCAGAAGCCTCACGGCGTCCTCGGATGTTGTTCCGCCCTTGCAACTAAATTGCACGTTCCATAAAACACAGACTTGCAACATTTTATGCTTCGGTGCTCCGTATTTATGTCTCGGCCCCGATTACAGGTTAAACCAAACAAGACACTGGGGTGTGTGTGTGTGTGTGTGTGTGTGTGTGTGTGTGTGTGTGTGTGTGTGTCTGGACAGCCGACAGTCAAATGGATGGATTGATTTGACCGTAACTGGGCCAAGCGCTCCGTGGGCATACCGGGGTTGCGACTACAGTGGAGAGGTCAAATAAGAAAAAGGAAAAAAAAAATCTGTGAAGAATGAAAGGACAACCACTTCTGTTTTCTTGCTGGGAAAACTGCATGATTGTATTGGTAGAGTTGTTTTTATTTTTTAAAAGGTTGTCCTGGACTTTTTAGGCCTACCACGTTCTGAAACCTTCAGCCCGGTTAATAAAAACTAATGCAAAATTTAAAGGCAGCAATATTGTAGTTTCCAAACGCCAGACAGAGACAGGATGTGTTTCCTGATCTTTGCGATAACCCAAGTAATCAACGTTAACTTTTAATTTATTAGATTGCCAGCCCCACCCCAGGCTGGGGGGTCCGACGCTTTCTGTCCGCCAGCCTCCATTTGCTTTTGTTACTTTTAACATTCACCAAAAAAAAAACAAAAAACAGATTTTTTTTTTCAGTCCAGTAGAGGGAGATAGCTGCGCTTGAAATAGATCCGAAGAAATAAAATTCAATTTCCACATTCAAAAGATAAATGCCCCAGAGGGAGTGTGTAAATTGAGAGATAACTGGTCTGCCCTAGCTTTTTACGCACAGGTTTGCAAGGGTGAGTGGGAAGGGGAAAAAAAGGAAAGAAAAAAAAATCTGTATGAATTGTGTGCTCAGCTGTTTCTTCCTTAACTGAAAGACTAGCTTCTCATCTCATTCATAAGGCTTCCAAAATTTGATGACCACACAAATCAGATTTATTTATTCTCTGCTCTCCTTTTCAGGGTTTGTCTATAAGCGATTGTTTGGAAGTACACAAGGAAAATCTTCTGAAGACTCTGGGTTCACATGGCATATTAAGGGGTGTCCGATTCCATGATTTCGCCTTTCATCAAACCGAACTGTTTGGCCAAAACTTTATTTGCAAGGAACAAACATTCCTATATAAAGATAAGTACGGTGGCAGCCCTAAAAGTCAGACCAATGTCATGAGCACAGAAATAGCAGAAGTACATATCTTGCTTTTTATGCGCTCGAATTAGACATTTTAATGTTTTTTTTTACTGTTTTAATGCTTTTTACTGCTTTTACTGAACTATTTAGAAGCAATATATCCAGGGAAGCTAGGAGCTCTACTCCTTAATGGAGAAAAAAGCCGGGGCCAGGCAAGTGATTTAACAGTAATTATTAAGGAGTTAAACCTTAAAAAAAAAGTTTAAAAAGAAAACCCTAAGCAACGAAGGGCTTTAATTCAAAATCAATCCGGTTTATTACAAAGCGGAGTTTGCGCTACCCGGGAAAAACTTTCTCTGCAGATTTCCGGGTCTCTCTGCTGCCACCTAGTGGCCGCCCAGAGTTTCAAGCGCAGATCCCGCCGCCCGAATCCGGTTGCTAAGCTCCCTCCCTTCCCACCTAGCCCTCTCCTCTCGGTTCGGGTTGCAAACGGGATGGGAGCGGTTGCTGTGGCCACCCCTGCGCCGCATCCAAAGGGCAGGCAGGCAGACAGGCCATCAATCCTCTCCTTTCCTTCCCCCTTTAACAGAACAATTCCTCCAAATCATCTTGTGTAGGTAGTTCTCTAGCTGGCTGTCACCCACCCGCGGTCTCCCACCCACCCACCCACCCACCTACCCACCCGGGCTCGCAGACACTCCCTCAGACCCCCCTCCCCCTCAGATCCCCCTCCCCTCCCCACTCCGGCGCACAGCAAGCTGTACAAATTCCAGAGGAGCAATAAAAGCGTTTGCATTCTTTTTTGCACCGCCTCCGTCCCTTGTCTCCTTTTGCAGAAGAAGGGAAGGGGAGGGGAGGAAGAGCCGCCAGGAGGCGGGCAGAAAGACCCCCCCCTCGGGCTGGGAAGAAGGGGCGTCGGAGGACGCGGTTGCAGGGAGGGGAGGAGACGGCCCAGCTCGCCCTGCTGTTCTTCCTCCTCCTCCTCCTCCTCCTCCTCGGATCGGGCCAATAAAGCAGCTGCAGAGCAGGGCGGCCGGCAGAGAGGGGGTTAAGCCGGATCCGCTCGGACCGACCCCTTCCCGGTGAGGCTGCGGGACCGACTGCAGCAAGCAGAAGGACTCGGCGGCCGCCTCCCCCGCAGCCTCCGCTCAGTCCTTCGGATGCTTTTCAAGCCTGCTCTCCTAAGGGTCGCAGGTCCCTTTCGCTGTTCTCCCGCCGCGCGGGCGACTCTCCTTTTTGGGCGCCTCTCCCGCGCCCGCCTTACCTTGGGTTCCGGAAGCGCCTCTTAGAAGCGGCGATGGCCACCAAGATCGACAAAGAAGCCTGCCGGAGGGCCTACAACCTGGTGAGGGATGACAGCACGGGGGTGAACTGGTAAGGAGCCCAGCCGAGCGTGGGTCGCAGCTCACCGCCGGGAAAGCGAAAGGGACCGAAAGCCGGGGAAGAAGACCCTTTCATTCGGGATCTTTCTGTGGGATTTGCTTTGCTTGGGGAGGGTGAGGGGGGGTTCAAGGATGCCTGTCTGGCCAGGTTAGCACAAGGGGGGAGGATGATGGGCATTGGAGCCCATAATACTGTCTTCCCAAGCTAGCACAATGGGGAGGATAATGGGCTTTGGAACCCTTGATGCCTGTCTTCCCAAATTAGCATAAGAGGGAAGATAATGGGCATTGGAACCCTTGATACTTGTCTTCTCAAGCCAGCAAAAATGGGGGATGATGGGCATTGGAACCCATGATACCTGTCTTCCCAAGCTAGCAGTAGGGGGAGGATAATGAGCATTGGAATCCATGATGCTCGTCTTCCTGATGATGATGACTTTACCAATTCAGTTATGTCCAGCACTTGGCAATTCTGTAGGCCAGGACTTTCCACCTCTTCTGATCTTGCACTGCTTCTCTGAATGCCTAGGCTAGCACAATGGGGGAGGGTGATGGGCATTGGAACCCATGCCAATCTTCCCAAGCTAACACAGAGGGGATGATGGGCCTTGGAACCCATTGTGAGGTCCTTGTGTGGGGTAAGATTTTTCTGTGTTGGCTAAGCTGGCCTCTTGCTTGAGACCCAAACTGTTCGACTTGCATGGAAAGAATTCAACTTATCATTAGAGTTCTTGCAAAGCATATTTGGTCATGACATCATCTTTCCTTGGGAGCCACCAGGCTCTCCTTCTTCTAAGCTTCTGGAGCAAGGTAGGAACTGGGTCATCTCACTCTATAAAAACCTGGTTGGGTCTGGCTGGGGAGGTGCAAGACATCTGAAATTGTGCAGATGAATTGGAGATGAATCATTTCTTCTTCTTCTTCTTCTTCTTCTTCTTCTTCTTCTTCTTCTTCTTCTTCTTCTTCTTCTTCTTCTTTTTCTTTTGTTCTTCCTCTTCCTCCCCCTTCTCCCCCTCCTTTCTTCTCCTTCTCCCCTCCTCTCCTGCTTCTCCATCTTCCCTTTAACCTTCCTTCCCCCTTTCCCAAAGGGTGACATTTAAGTACGAGGGCTCCACCATCATCCCAGGACACAATGGCGTGGAATACGAAGAGTTTATACGACAGTGTACAGGTAAGCTCCCTCTTGCTCTCTTCAACCAACACATGTTCCTCGGTTGCCAAGGGGAAGAAAGAAAAGGCCAAACAGCTTGAAATTTGCTTTTTTAAAACACTCTCCAATACCCCCTTCCTCCAAAAATGCTTTGAAAAGCCCTGAACTGTAATGATGTCATCCATCTCACAAGCCTTTTGTTGGGAAATTCTCAGTCCTCCCTTCAAAGAAAACCTCAGAGGGTTCACGGGTGATTTTATTTCTTTCAACAAGAGTCCAAATTCCAATAAGAGGGACTTTTCCAGGAATTATTTGTCTTGCTCGACCTGTCAGTGGCGACCCTTGAAACTCGGTCTTGTTTTAATTCACACCCAAATGCAGCTCCTAACTTTCCTCCAACATCAGCTGTCTGTTGCAAGTGATGTAAGAAATACACAGAGCCTGACGTTATTTTGGGTGGAGGAAGTTGTATTTCAGGAATGTACAGAAATTCTCCTTCTGTATCTCAAGAGCCAGCATGCCTCAACATGGATGTGTGGCTCAAAGGCCAATGGGAAGGGCCGCCTACCAATGTTCAAACATTCTTGGGCATGGACAGAGAGGCAGATCAAGAAAACCCAATTCTTCACCAGCATAAAGTAGCATTTCTGCACATTCACCCAAGCAAAGGTCTGGGTTGACATGTTTATGATGTCACTTCCAAGCAACTGCAAACTTGCTTGCTTATTTATTTGATTTCTATAGCCACCCATTCTGGCATGAATTAAAGCAAAAAAAAGAAAAAAGAAAAGAGAGAAAAGGAAGAGAAAAAAAGAAAAGAGAGAAAAGGAAGAGGAAGGAAGGAAGGAAGGAAGGAAGGAAAGAAGGAAGAAAAAAAGGAAGGAAAGAAGGAAGGAATGAACCATTAGGGCTTTCAGGAGAAATTGTGAAAGGGGTTTGATAGAGACCTGGATGTCATAAAGCCACGTGAATGGGTTGATTGTATGGTTATGGCCACCCCCCTTGACTTTTTTTTAACCCCTTCCTCTAGACACCTCTGGATCCAAAGTCTACAGCAGGATTTCTCAACCTTGACAATGTTAAGGTGTGTGGACTTCAACTCCTAGAATTCCCCAGCCAGCCATGAATTAAAGCAAAGGGGGGGGGAAGGGATTTTTTGGGGAGAAATCGTGAAAGGGGCTGTTACAGACATGGGTGTCATAGATTCATATAAATGAGTTGTTCATATATATATGAAGAAAAGATTTCTTTCTCCCATATTTGGGTCGACAGGGTGCATCAAAGAGCACTCAAGGTAATTCCTCCCCCTGTCTCTTCCCAGACACAGCTAACAAAGTGAGAAAGAGCCTGTGGCCTAGAGGTTAACACAGCTGCTTAACATGCAGACAGCCCAGGTTCAAATCTCAGAAGGGTATGTCTGGTTGATGAGAACTAAAAAGTTCGAAATAGCTATTCCGTTCTCCCTTAATTCTTTGCTAGCAATCCAAATTTTATAATGTGTGTGTGTGTGTGTGTGTGTGTGTGTGTGTGTATTTCAAAGCCCCCACTCCCTCCTTTTTTTACTTCCATCCTGCTTTCTTTTGCTTTCAGCTTACAGAAAAAAGCTTGCAGCAGGAAACATCCTGAATGGTTCATGTCGTGTTTTTCATCTTCTATTCCTGCCACCCTATGCTTTCTTCTTTCATGTTGACTTTAAAGGACCAACAGCCTGGGAAACAAGGCATAGCATGGCTGGGGGAGGGAGGAAGAGGAGTCCTCCTTATGGTATTGATTGTGGTTGAGGTTCTCATGGACAGCCCATTCCTGTCTGTCTGCAAATCATTTTTCTCCCCTTTGCTTTTTGCCTTTGCAAAATAATAATAATAATAATAATTCAATTTCCTTGGGCTGCAGGACAGATGCCATTTTTTTTTTTTTTTTTAGCTTTTCCTTCTGCTGCTGCTTCCAATTTCCAGTTTGCTTGGAATTCCAGTTTAATTTTCCACAAAGGAAAGTCCCTGGTTTTTTTCTTTCTTTCTTTGCCTCTCTCTGGCGATCCTTGTTGTTTCCCTGAACACACACATGTACATGCACGCAAATCACGGCCTGATGTGTCTCTACTTCTATTTACTTCCTTTTTCAGTTTTTCGGCAGAAGTTCTTTTGTGCTTGAGGATGTTCTAGAGCAGAATTTGGCAAGGTTAAGATGGCATGGCCGGCTGGGGAATTCTGGGAGTTGAAGTCCACGTATCTTAACATTGTCAAGTTGAGAAACATTGCCCTAGACCAGTGGTGGCAAATCTATGGCACGTGTGCCAAAGGCGGCACTCAGAGCCCTCTCTGTGAGCACACATGCTGCTGTGCTAGCAGCTTGCGCAGGTTCATGAGGCTGCCACGGCCCTGAGGGGCTGCCCCACCCAGCACAAAGTAGGTGAAGTGGCCAGCTAGCAATCTTGAGTAGAGGTGGTAGAGCATGCCCACAGCCAGCAAGCCTAAGGCCACCCCAAGCTAGGAAAGCCGGATCCCCATCGGCACTATGGCCCCCCCAGTCCCAGCTAGGATTGCGTGCCTCCCCCCATCTATGCTGGGCCTCCTGCCCACCGCCTCACCCGCCAGAGACCCCCTGGATCTCCCCCAAACCTGCACAGCCCCACAGGCACCCCGCATGAGCAACATCGAGGTGGCCATGCCCACCCGAGCCACACCCACCCAGTCTGCCATGACAACTGGAGCCACGCCCACCCAGTGGGCCACCCCGATGCCCCCCTCAAGGCCCGCAATGCTGATTCGGCCCTGGCACTTTGCGATAAATAAGTGAGTTTGGGGTTGTGGTTTGGGCACTCAGTCTCTAAAAGGTTCGCCATCACTGCCCTAGACCTTTGGGCCAAAGGTGTCCAGAGGTAGAGGTTAAAAAAAAGTTCAAGATGGTGGCCATAACCATATAATCAAAACCTTGCTCCTTTTTACCTGTGTCGTGACTTAGTAGTCTGGAAAGCCCCACAATTTCTCCGTCTTGAAAAAATAAGTAGCAGTAGCCAAAACAACCAAGCTCGGAGGGCACCAAGGACCCCACAGTTCAACCCCGAGCTACAAATATTCTCTACTATATAAGTAGCAGAATGGCAGATAGGATATAATCCCCAGCTATCAAATAACTCAGAGGAGGTCATGAATCCTAGCAATGAAAATTTGTTTTGTATGCGGCTGGAGGAAGTCGAATTTCGCTTCTCCGTCCGTTCCAGTCCATTGCTTTATTTTTATTTTTTTATTTTCTCAAGATGACATTCGGTTGTTTGGCTTCATCCGATTCACCACTGGAGACACCATGAGCAAGCGAGTCAAGTTTGCACTGATCACCTGGATAGGGGAGAACGTCAGTGGCCTTCAGAGAGCTAAAACAGGGACTGATAAGACGCTCGTGAAAGAAGTTGTCCAGGTAAGTTGAGGTGTTCATGTCAATGTTTCTTGTCCCATCGAGAAGGTAGATTTTTGTGAAGCTGTACAAGAAGACTGGAGAAATGAGGGATCCTTGGTGCTCTCTGCGCTTGCTTGTTTTCTTGCAGACATTTCATTATCCAAACTAGGTCACATCATCAATGCTAGAAGGATTTGCTTCCAGCTTATAGCACTGATGATGTTATTTAGTTTGGGTAATGAAATGTTTGCTAGAAAACCACCACTCTCAGAGAGCACCAAGGACTCCTGATTCCACTTTACTGAGGCAGGAGAAAGTGCTAACAAGAGACATCCTTGGTTGCACCTTGAGATTTGATTCCTAGTATCCTCTTTTTAATGCGGACCAAGGCACTTTATTCTACCACCCTCAATTACTTTTATGGCTCCACTAGCTGGAAGCGAGAGAGTCCATAAATTGGGAACATGGCAAGTTTCCTAACCTTGGGCTTACAGCAGAAATAAAGAGGGCAACATCTTCTAGAAATGTTGGATTCAACTTCCATTAGCCCAGCTGTTGTAACCTTTGCAAGGGGTTGTAGCAGTTGCAGTCAAAAGAAGGGTGCTAAATTGACTGAATATATTTGATCTGCACCAGTGATCCTGAACTGCTTTGTGTCCTCGTCCTTCTGCTGAAATGAGGAAGCCAGCATCTAAAGCAGGGGTAGTCAACCTTGGCTCTTTTATGACTCGTGGACTTCAATTCCCAGAATTCCTGGGCCAGCTTAGCTGGCTCAGGAATTCTGGGAGTTGAAGTCCACGAGTCATAAAAGAGCCAAGGTTGACTACCCCTGATCTAAAGGAAAATATCCTCCAAGACCATTAAACTGGCTAATTTACATGTCCTGATGCTACTGACCATAAGGTGGAAAGAAGCTATGGAGGACATTAATGCTTGGCTGCTAAACTACAAATAAGCTTCAGTTTCTTTGCTCTGCCCAAGGGACTGAATGAAATGTTTGCAGAGATGTTTGTTGTGGTTCTCCTTGGTGTGTTACGCAGACTCCGCCTTTTGTGTTGTGTGGAGCCATTCAGGTTGTCAAGGCCCCTCCAGCTTCCTGACCCCAAACAAATGGATGTATTTGTTTGTGGGGCTCACGCTGTCTAGAAGGAACACAGAGGTGGTCATTCATCCCCAGGCCATCGCCAAGGCCAACATGGGATGGCAAATTGAGTGGGGTGTGTGTGGAGACTGAAAAACCCTTGTTTGTCTTGGGAATGGCATTTTAAGAGGATCCAGAAAATGGTTTCAGCAGGAAACAGACAGAAAGGACGCTCTCTTGTGTATTTCAAGAGGGTCGTTGGCTTAAGAATTGCTCAAATTCGGTGAGCTATGCTCAGTCTCATCCATGAGGAATTGTTCTGACCACACCTGCTCCTGTTCTCCTTCCTGGAAAAAGAGAGGAAACATTTCCCAAACTTGGGACCTTCTGTCTGTGTTGAATTAAAGGGGGTCTTCAACATATGACCGATTACTGAGTGTCTGTTCAAAGCTCTGATGGACCTACCTGGAGGTACTTATGACCCAGATGTGAACTTCTGATAGTCGCCCTTGTAGGATGCTGCAAACCGCTCGGTTGCTGGGCACCTGCCGGGCAGTTATACCACAAAAAAGGTCGTAAAATCAGGTTGGTTATGTGACTGTTTACTACCATCATGAGTTAGGACCATGATGAGCAGCCTTCATTACAGTCACAACGTAAGGACTATTGGTACATAACGGACGTGGTTGAGACAGAAAGTTCAACTACAACACATCTGATATGTACTAACATTTGGGAAATAAACTTTTTCTTTGTTTTCTTACACCTCTCTGCAGCCATCCTGATGACGCTGTGATTACTGCTGGGTTAGGTCCCTGCCATAATGGTTTCAGATGAATATTAGAAGAGGGAGACATTATGGCAGTGGAAAACTACCGCAAACTCGTGAAAGAGTTTCTCTGGAATTACTGTTTGGGAAATCTTTCCATTCCTGTTCAAAAAGTGTGCAGACCACCATCTCCTTCAGCCCTGCTTCCTAGAGAGGACATTCTGCTATCCGATCCCATCCTAAACACGCTCTACCTTTTTTGTCTCCTGCAGAATTTTGCCAAAGAGTTTGTGATCAGTGACCACAAGGAACTGGATGCCGATTACATCAAGAGTGAGTTGAAGAAAGCCGGAGGTGCAAATTATGACGCTCAGACAGAGTAAACCGGGAAGAGGAACACAACACCCGTGCCTCCTGCAGCTACCTGAATAGATGTGTCAGTATAGGAGGCGGGAAAGCACAATTTACCTGTGAAAACAAAACTGGAGGATGACTTGAGGCAAGTTTGAGAAGGCCTCTCCGAAGCCTGTTCCTGTCTCCAGAAGTGGACAGGAAGTGGACCTTGATTTTTTTTTTTCCATTCCATCTGCCAAACCAGCTCCTTCTTATGTGATCTTTCTCTCTGAGTTCTTTTTTTTTTTTTTAACCACTGTCTTTCTCACGAACATTACCTAGGGGACCTGGCCCCATAGGAAGTTGGCCAGAAGTCAAGGTGTTGGCTGAAGGGCCTGCTACATGGTTCTCGAGAGCTTTAGATCTTCCTGTGAACCCTTCTGTCGGTCTAGAAAGTCTCCAAGGTTGAAAAACGAATTCATTCTTGACGGCCGTCTCCCCTAACAGACCAGCTGAAGGGCTTACGATGTGCAGAATGAGTTACGCAGCCCGTGAACCTCATGGTTTCTTCCAAAGTCCTCTCTGCTGTGTTGGATGAGAAATCCACACCACAGGAGGATTTATTTCTAGGTTTTTCCAACAACAAAAAGCACAAAATTGCTGTTTCCCCCCCCCCAAAATAGCAAAAGGGCTGTGGCCTGAGGCCCCCCCCCCTCAAGGCTAAATGCAACTCTCTAAAGTTAGTACAGGTTATGATTGTTAATGAAGTAGAAGAGAGAATGTTAAATACAAGGTGGCATTTGATTCACTGAAATGGAATCCTATTTAAATTGGGCCAGCCTCTTTGGCCAGGCACCACCTAGTAGTAAAGGGTGAGCACTGATTTGAGCCTTGACTGAAACAAGTCATGTATTTGTGGGACATAAAGCTTCCTTTATCGCACATAAGCAAACTGATTTACTCAGATCTCTGTTCCCAGAAGATTTGGTTCTTCGGTTAGGTACATGCCAGATTGTGGGATTTTACCATTGTGCTTAAAAATAATTTCCTTGTGCCCAATGGAACTTTGTCACAAAGAGCTGTGCAGAGTGTTGTAGTCTCCAGTTGCAATTGCGCATACATTTTCCTAGGAGTAAGCAGCGCTGGACAGAATGGGATTTCTAAGCATGTGGGTGTGGGTGGAAGGTCAGAGGGGATTGGGGGTGAGTAGTGAATGTGTTTGTTTGCAGCCCCTGAAATCCACACATGCTAACGTCACTAAAGGTCAAAGAGAAGCTGAAATATTTGGCATTAAACAGCCATCAAGGGAAAAATACGATCTTTTATTTCAGTTTTTCATGGAATACGAAGAAATATAATTTGCCTTAAAGGAACAGCTTGGTTATGCATCATGTGATCTTTCTCTCTTTCTTTCTTTCTTTCTTTCTTTCTTTCTTTCTTTCTTTCTTTCTTTCCTTCCTTCCTTCCTTCCTTCCTTCCTTTTTTCCTTTATTTTTTCTTTTTTAAAAAAAAACATTGCTGTAAAGAGCAGTAAATAAGGGAGAAAACAAAATGTCTCCTTTTCTGATTGTACTGTTTTGTACTGTCATTGTTCACTTTTTTTAAAATTTCTGCATTTGTACCCTGAATGTGTAAGATGATTGCTGGTGAGGACTTGTAAACAATTATACAACAGCCTTGAGTTGCACTCTTGTGAAATGTTGATGCTTGAAAGTTTCCATTTACTCTGGTGGGGTTCGACTGGGAATGAATGGGAACTGTGTGGTCTCCTCTAGTCTTTCATTAGCAGTTAAGAGTATTGGATGTCAAATCATGGACCATGTCTACTTTACATAGTTCCAGCAGTTTTTGGTTGGGTGATGAAGAGATGGGTCCAGTCTGAAGAACGTCAAGTCTAAAGAAAAAACGACTTGCAAGAAATTCAGGAATATAGAGGGAAGCTACAGGGAAAATGGCCAGAAAATATTTTACAGGCCAGCAGAAAGTAAGATCAGAAATGACCAGTATGCATTTAACTACCTAGATGTCATTTAAATATTAGAAAAAATTCCTGAAAAACATCCATCATTGTCTAGTATAGAGGTGGGTTCTGAACACTTTTAAGAAGAAGCTGGATAGCTACTTCTTGACGATTGTCTGATTAACAGAATGACAGATTTGGAAGGGATCTTGGAAGCCTTCAAGTCTAACCCCCTGTTCAAACAGAAAACCCTACACCATTTCAGACAAATAGTTATCCAGTCTCTTTTCTTGAAAACCTCCAGTGATGGAGCACCCACAACTTCTGGAGGCAACCTGTTCCACTGATTAATTGTTCTCCCTGTCAGGAAATGTCTCCTTAGTTCTTGGTTGTTTCTCTCTTTGATTAGTTAATCTTCTTGCACATTGAAGGGAATTGTACTAGATGTTTCTTGTGCTCTCTTCCATCTCTAGATAGCATCCTTTTTTTCTAGATGTAATGATCTTTCAGAAGGAGCCAGAGGACACCCCGGCTTCAGCAGCTCTTCCCTGTTGAGTAGCACCTTGTGTACTGGGGGTAGGAGGGGGCAGGTAGAAACTTTGCATGCATGCCTATTCAAAGCCCCAGCTCCCATGTTCTTCCTAACCCTTTTTGCATCAGGACAGCAAGCATTCAGATGAATGACTCATTGGGTGTCCAGGATGAGGAACTGTATGACTATCAGACCTGAGGAGAGTCTGCTAAGAAAGGGACTGGGTCTCTGATTATTATAATGGGGATGAGAAGGGTTGTGGGGCAGTCCCCATCCCAATCTCTGCAGCCCCACAGCCACCCTGTGATTCTATGGCTTTCTGGCTCAAGATGCTTTCTAACCAAGCGTATGAAATTGTGCTCATTGACCTACATCTAATTCCCACACGCTCCCGATCTGAAAGCACATTAGTGTGTTGTTATAGTGATAAAAACAGCTGTAGTTCCTGGAACCCTACGGAGATGTCCTTAATCTTGCCTTCAGCGAGGATTTCTTGGTGGTTCTCAGCCTATTAACTGAGGCTTAGGCTTATATCTGGCCCTGGTGACTTCGAACAAGGTGGCAACTCGTTGCTCACCGTCTAATCCAAGTCAACTGAGAAAGGCCCAGAAATTGCAGTTCCTTCCAAGAGAAAAACGACAAAAACCGCTCCCCCTACGAACAAGTCCTTAGCGCGGTTCATTTACTGACCATTCAAAGTTAAAACAACCCTGAGAAAAATGACTTATGACCGTTTTTCACAGTTGCCACTGCTGTGGCATCCCCGTAAATTCCAGACACTGGGCAACTGACTCATATTTATGATGGTCGCCGTGTCCCTGGGTCATGCGATTCCCTATGGCGACCTTCTGACCGGTAAAGTCAATGAGGAAGGCAGATTCACTTCACAACCATGGGACTCACTTTACCAACTGCAGTGATTCATTTAACAACAACAAAGAAAAGTCGTAAAATGGGACAAAATTAACAACTGTCTGGCTTAGCAATGGAAATTTCGCATTTGGATTATGGTCGTATGGGGGGGACTGCCCGTAGAAACCAAGTTGACCCATCTTTCTACTTCATCTGTGTGGGGGAAGACTTCAGATGTAGATTTTGAGTCGACTGAACAACCCTTGCAAATCAGATTAGGGAGGCGATATTTCGGTTGCCAGAATCCAGATGTTTAATAGAGGGCAAGAAAGAGATATGCAACACTCCTTGGAAAGGCTGTTCAAGAAGATTGCAAAGCGCCATGATTAAAATCAGATTTTTTTCTTTCCCATCCTCCCCCTCTGAGCACATTGTTATCAGACTCCTTGACAACAGTTGTCATAGCAATCCAGCCTTTTTTCTCCACCTCCAAGATGTATTTGCACCCACGGTCATGGAATAAACCCAAATCAGGTCATTAAGGGAGAAATAAAGGGAAATTAACGTCTTCTCCAAGTCGAGGTCAACTGCCCCTCACCGCATGCTGAAACCAGTTGGCCATTGTCAATGTTCAGATCTGCGTGTTCTTTCTAACCTCCCTTCCAAGAACAAACCAAGAAACAGAATAACACAGTTGGAAGGGATCTTAGAGGTCTCCTAGCCCAATTTCCTACTGGTTCAGGAGACTCTACACCAGTGGTGGCGAATCTATGGCACGCATGCCAGAGGCGGCACTCAGCCCTCTCTGTGGGCACATGTGCCGCCACTGCCAGCAGCTTGCGCAGGTCCATTAGGCCGCCACTGCAGCCCCCCCCAGCACAAAGGAGGCGAAGCGGCCAGCTAGCAAGGTCGAGTAGAGGTGGTAGAGCACGACCATGCCCAGCAAGCCAAAGGCCACCCCGAGCAGGGAAAACTGGATCCCCATCGGCGCCATGGGCCCCCAGTCCCAGTTAGGATTGCGTGCCTCCCCCATCTATGCTGGGCATCCTGCCCACCACCCCACCCACCAGAGATCCGCTGTATCCCCAACCTTGCCTGGCCCCCACAGGCGTCCCCCCCCCTATGAGCAACATCAAGGTGGCCATGCCCACCCCAGCCACGTCCACCCAGTCTGACGTGACAATCGCAGCTATGCCCACTCAGTGGGCCACGCCGACCGAGTGGGCCATGCCTCCATGCCCCCCCCCCGAGGGCACCACAATGCTGATGCGGCCCTGGCACTTTGCAATAAATAAATGGATTTTGAGTTGCGGTTTGGGCACTCGGTCTCTAAAAGGTTCGCCATCACAGCTCTATACCATTCCAGACAAGTGGCTGTCCAATCTCTTCTCAAAAGCCTCCAGCGATGCAGCACCCACAACTTCTAGAAACAGGTTGTTCCACTGGTTAATTGTTCTCACTGCCAGGAAATGTCTCCTTATTAGGAGTTTGCTTAGCTTTTTTCAAGATATACCATGTTTGAACTAAGCACTGCCACTTAAGATCTGACTTCATCATAAGCAACTTTAGGAAACAGAGGTCATAATTAATAGTTGAATTTTACTTCATTGAAAAGGCTACAGTAACAGAATCTTGAAAGCTTGATAACAGCTCTCCTTTCTTGTCTCTTATACCAAAGAGACTCACAGTGGACAGTCTTGAGTTTCTTTCTCACGCCTTCATGTTCTCCTGGGCTAAGTTCATGTTTTCGAGACATCTTCCATATATTTTATTCAAGGCTGTCTCTGTGCAGGTACTTTTTCACCAAGAGAGAGGGAGGGAGAGGGAGGGAGGAAGAGAGAGAGAGAGAGAGAGAGAGAGGGAGAGAGGGAGATATATAGGCTGGGAAGATTTATGAATCAGGTAGTAATGGTATAAATGAGGTCTGTTCTGAAAGATGGTTTAATTCAGAGCTCCCCAATGTTTCTGGCTTTGCAGACAAGCGGGGGAGGGGGGGATGGTTCGCACAAGTGGCTGAGAGGCACAAGTGTGTAGCTGCATTTCCATAAGCAGCATGCCTACGTGCCTGTCGCTCACACAAATGGAGAGTGCGCATGAGCACATGCCGGCCGTTTCCTCAGCCCAGTTGCAAATCCCTCATGGCCCATCAGTGGGCTGCAGCGCACAAGTTGGGGACCCTCTGGTTTAGTTCATAATCTGGAAGAGATTGTCTCCTAAAAAGTCCATGCATATTCTGACTTCATAGGGGAATCTCTGAAATGTGATCTGTCACCGTAGGACAGTGGTTCTCAACCTTTTTAATGCCACGATCCCCAACCGGTCGTCGGTCGAGGACTACTCCACGGATGCAGCACCGTTTGCAGAATGGGACTTTTGGCGGGCTCAGCAGGGCAGAGACAGCCTGGACAATTCCTATTGGCTTTTGAAAGCCAATAGAATTAGACTCTATTCAAGAGAGTCTATTCTGTTGGCTTTCAAAAGCCAATAGAATAAAAGGGAGGAGCACAGCTAAGGAAAAGGGGGAAAAAATGGCAGACTGCGTTGTTTGAAACGGTCATTCGACCCCAAATGGGGTCCCGACTCACAGGTTGAGAACCACTGCCGTAGGACCTCTTGAATTTCTGAAACTGTTGTGTCCTGAGCCTGCAAATGCAGGCTTGAGACATTGCAAGGTTCCCGGGCAATTGCAAAAGCTGCCCGGGACCAGACTGAGTGGCGCCAGCCTAGGGCACATGCACAAGGCACGAAAGTGCCTAGAAATGTTGCCATTATGTCCAGGGATTTGGGACGTATAAAAGGAGGCCTGCGTGCCTTTGCTCGTTGTTGGAGTTTTGACTAAATGCACAATAAAGAGCACTAGAAATGCGTCTTCTTCACTCGCCATCGCTCCCAGGACATAACAGAAATCATCAGCGTTTCCTGTAGAGGAGTCATCCTTCTGACTCTCCAGCTGTCTGGGTGGAGTTTTTGGGTCCCGTCTCAGCTGACTCCGCAACAAGGAGAATTATTAAGAGTTTCCAAAACTTAGGAAATTCTCCGTTGCTCCACGGAAGTCAGGCAATGAAGACAGCAACAAAGTTGGGCAGTGAACTGACCAACTTCCTCTCCAAGAGGAAGTGTAGCCAAAGCTGAAGGAGATCTTGGAACAGAGACCAGGTCAGGAAGACGATATGGAGCAGAGGCCTTAAGGAGGCTAGTCAGGAAACAGACAAGCGAGGCAGATATGGATTTCATTATGAAGTATTTTCTCTTCCTCTGTTGTAATATGACAATTTAGAGTCATCCAATGTACTAGGACAGTGGTTCTCAACCTGTGGGTCGGGACCCCATTTGGGGTCGAACG